CATATCCAGCTTAGATGGCAGAGAAGATAGAAAATGTAGAGACTGCCAGCTTCTCACTCCAGATCCCTTTGAGAGGCTTTGGGAGGTGTCAGGTGCACACAGCCTGGCTCACCTTCTCACTGGATTTCAGGACAGCAAAGCTGTGAGTGGAAAGAAATGTGGAAAAACAGTACTTTCCCACCTGTTGGGATGAGGCCTTCCTGTTCTGCTTTTGTCAGACTTACCCAGAGATAACCCCTACAAATGCTTTTCAGCTATTTTTACCTATTTTCTGGCCAAGCAGCACTTTCTAGAGATGCAAACAAAACACGTAATTCATTCTTCCCACCTCCACTGCAACTACTCCTCTTGCCCTGGGTTTGTTTATTTGGGAGATGTTCCCTTTTCTTTCATGAAGCAGGCTTTTCATGCTAGATAATTTTGTGCTTGCCTTTAGCCTCTCAAGTCCTTTGAATAAGCCAAGCTGGCCATGAGATGGTGCCACACGCAGAGTTAAAACCCTACTTTGCTTACCAGAGACAGCAGACAGGGAACAGTCTTCCTAGGCACTGCATTTAATAGGCCATATTTATTATGTCTATTATCATTATAATCTGGACTTCTTCAGCTTTGGATACATGAATAATACAGCATCAAAAAAGAAGTTTTTAAAAAGGTGATTTTATATATAGATAGATAAAGATAGCTCACTCTGATTCATCTGCTAAAAATTGCTGCTGCTCCTTGTTTGTTTGTTTTGTTCAAGCAGAAATCGCTGGGCAAGATGAATGCCAGGAATGGGAATACAGGATAAGCCTAAATTTCACAACTTCTTGTCATGCTGGAAGGTTGCTGTCAAAACTTTGGTGCAGGTCTGGAATTTGCTTAGAAATGAAGTCGCAGCTCCGGGGTGTAGCGCAGCAGCTGAGCACAGCCAGGCAGGGAGGCAGGGAAGAGCATGTGGCCCATCCAGGGATGAATGAAGGTCAGCTCCAGGGGAAGGCTGCAGGGACTGGAGCAGGAGCTGTGCAGCCCCCACAAGCCAGCATCTGGATAGGAATGTCTCCCTGCATAGGTAAAATTTGAGTGGTTTGAAGGAGTCCTGTGGTGAGTGTTTTACCTTGTGCCATATGAGGGTGTAAATTGTTGTGCCTGTTCTTCTGGCCAGGTGCAGAGGTTTCTCTGGTGGGGATCAGGGTTTGGAGTCGGCAGCCAGTACAGAAAAGAGACACAAAAAACCCTTCAGGCTGTAAAAATGACCCTTGGGCAGACAAATGTCTCACTCAGAAGTACAGCTGGAGGTGTTGCTGCTGGAGCTGCACCTCCTGACTACATTTTCAGCCAACTTCTGCACAGCTCTGAGCCAGGAAGAGACACAAAGCCTTCCCAAGCCACGGCACAGTGCACAGCAATAAACTCCAGCTCTGCTCTCCACCCCTACAGCTCTGTTTGCACCTGGCAGGTGTTGCCACATCCACAGCCTGTGGCCTCCTGGTCCCTCACATGTCACAACAGAGGACACGCAGCCAGCAGTGGAGCTGGGAGCAGCATCAGATCTCCAGATCTGGTGTCTAACCTGGGCTTCACCTTCTGTAGAGATCCTGGGATCTGGTCCCAGTCACAGACAGGAATCCAGACTGTCTGCTCTGGGCATTGCTAGTGATGTGTCAGAGTGGTTTTTCAGCTCTGCATGGACACAACCATTATCAAAGTCGTGTCCCAGTAGTCAGTTGGATCCTGCCTTGGTGGAAATAAAACACCAGTGCTTTGACTGTAGCTTCACAGAGGGTAAGCCATAAAATAAAAATACTAAGGAAATGGCTGTAACAAACACTTGACATCCATCATGAGGGACAAGATCTGTCTTAACCCACTAAAACATTATTTGTTCTTTTTCCCAGCGGCCAAAACATCGCTCTTCTGCATGAGATATGTGTGTCATTGGATATGTGTGTATCCCTAAATTTAATTTGTCCAATTGCATTAGAACAAGCAGCTAATTCCGAAATTCATTTTGTTTCCATAATCAACCCCTCTGCCAAATGGCATTTGGGTGGAATTGTGGAGATTGTGATTTTTATTTAAAGTGATTTATTGAAATCATTAGTAATGTTCCCTAAGTGGAATCCATGGCAATCCTTTTAATCTTCCCCCCATCACAGTAAATGCAAACATTTTTTTTAATAATAGAGAGATTGAAATATAAGGTTATTAAAATCCACACTTGTGTATCTCTCCATGCTCTCTCCCTCTGTAATGGGCTGAAAACCATAACTGTGGAAATAAAGACTCCCTTTCAGACCGGAGATGCAGAGAGTGTATAATGAACAGTTAAGCATCTATTTAGTCACTTTGAATTGATAAGGGTGTTAATGGAAATGAAAGGAGCCAACTTTATTTCCGCTGCAGAGGAATCCAAATGGTGGGGGAATGTGTTTTTGGTATTGCCCTAAGCCCCTTTAATGGAGTCAGTGTCTGCAGCAGAACTCAGAGCTTCCCCAAGTGCTTTTCCAGCTTCTTCCCACAAATACTCAGTGGAGGGCTAGGAAACTGAGGGGGTTTGCCCTGTGTCCCACTGGGCTGTTGTCACCAGCTGTCCCCAGGCACACAGAGAGCTGCCTCTCAGCTCTGATTAATCCCCCCATACCTTTGCAAATGCTTTGCCTCCAATCACTCAACTCCATCCCCTCCTGGAATAAAGGGGTACAACACAGTGGGAGCCTGCCTGGGACAGTCGCAGCTGAAGCCAGGCACAGGGTGGGTCAGCTGGACCAGATGCTCTCCTGTTCCCTCTGGTTGATGCCCTGGTGCCATGGCAACTGCTAGCACCAAACAGCTGTGGTGAAAGGACAGATTTGGAGCAGCTTCGGTCCCCAGTGACCAGTGGCCATGTTCTGGGGGTTGTTCTTTCCTCCTAAGAACTCCAGGCAAAGGATGTGCCTCTGAGCAGAGCAAAGCCAGACTGCACTGTGCCACCCCTGCACAGAGCCCAAAACTCACTTCACATTGAAAAGTTCCTATAAAAAAATAATATTGCCACATTTTTCATCTTGGAAGGATAAAATCTGGTGTGGGAGGACTGGGAATCTGACAGAGGAGCCATTTGCCCTTAGCTCCTGACTCCTGCCCTGGCCCTCAAAGCATCTCTGCAGCTTCATGCTCTGGAGGCAGAGTAGCAGCTCCAACTCTGGACATCCAGATGCTGGGGCAGGGGGACATCAGGACCTATCCCATTGCAGGATATGTATCCATGCAGCTGCCCAGATATTCCTCTGTAACCTTCAGTCACAGCTCTGTCACTTGTGAGAAGAAATTTTAGCATGTTGTTCAATGGTCCTGGGCACCAGAAGTGACTGTGACACAGGCCATGTACATTCCAGGAAGGATAGAAAAGCTTTTTCCTCCACATTTTATTTGCTCCTGGGCTGGTACAATCTGTCCATCACCAACCCAAACCCTGGTGATATTATTGTACAGGAGATGTTGCCATTTTATTCTACACTCTTCCAACCCCCAGGATTGCTGCTGGCTGGTAACACACACACACAAAGTTAATCTTTTGCTATTATTTCTCAGAAGCTCCATTTGGCTACTTTCAGGCTTATTGTGGTGATTTTCTTGCCCCCCATGACAGCTGTTTCTTACATGGGGAAGCAGCACCAAAAAAAAAAAAAAAAAAAAAAAAAAAAAAAAAGGGGGCTGTGATTTATTTTCACCTCCAAATATAGAAAGACAATTTCCCCCTCTATTAAGATTTCCTCTTCCTCCTCTTTAAATATGTCCCACTGCCTTTAAACCAAGCCAGCAACTCAGTGATCCCAGAGATCCCACCACTAAGGCAGATGAGCTGTATTTGTAGGGAACATGAACCAGTTTAAGACCATTATCAAGGTGACCACGGAGGCTGGCTCTTACCAGCTGGCACAGACAGCTTAGCAGGGAGGGGAGACGGCGAGGGAGCTCAGCCTCAAACCCTCCGTGCTTTCTGCAAACCAGTCATCCCTCCGATGCCCAAACTTTGCAGGGCGGAGGCTGCCGGGGAGGGAGCGGGGCTGTGGGGAGCATCACTCCTGCGGGATGCTGGCGGTGGGATCGATGATGTCCTCCCCGCTCCCGGCAGCGCCCGCGATGTGATTCCTGCCTGCCGGCGGCTCCGCTCCCAGACAAAGGCTGAGCTGCGCGCCCGCGGGCGGCTGGAGCCGGGCTACCCACGCGAGCGCCCCGGCTGCTCCCCACCTTCCCCTGCACCTCCCCGGGAACATCCAGCCGACGGATCAAAGCTCATCTTTTGTCATCGAAAGGATTAACTCCCCGGGGAGCAGCGGCGGAGGCTGAGCCCTACGCTCCCGGCACGCATCGCCTGCTTCCCAGCACGCTCAGGAGTTTTGGAGCCAACCTCCCGGCAGCTAATCCCCCTCGCTGCCGGGGCCGGGGAGGCTGGGAAGAGCCGGCAGGTGAAGGGGCAGGAGGGAAGGGAACGGGGAGGAGTGTCACACACACACACGCACCCCGCACACCGGGCACGGCGGCGGCAGCGGCAGCGGATCGGCGGCTGCGAGCGGGGAGCTCCGCGGGAACCCAGCCCGGAATGAAACAAGCTGGAGCATCAGGCGGGAGGATCTGTTCGCTTGGAAAAGTCTTTAAGGTAAAACCCGAGACCGGCCGCTCCTGGACTGGGCTGGGGACAGGGTGCTGGGCTCTCTGCCGGCATGCTCGCTGTCTCTGACTTGGTTCTGTTTTTAAAGGAATCGATCGGGAGATGCCGGTAGAAGAAGTTGCTGAAAGCCAAGCCGGAATGGCCAGGAGCTGCGCGCCGCCGGCCCCGTCGCACGCCGGAGCAGCTGAACTTTGTGGGGTCTGAACATTTTGTCGCCTCTGCGAACGCCCTGGGCAGCGCTAACGGGAGAGCCAGGACCGCACCGCACACCTTGAGCCTGGCCGAGCCTGGGGCAGAGCCGAGGGGGGATTTCTGTCTCTCCAAGGACCATCGCCTCTGAAAAAAAAAAAAAAGCTGGAGAAGGGCAATTTATCTTTCTTTTCCAGATGACTGAAAATATCTACAGGATCCTGTCTCTCCGGTTTTCATCGGTGAGTAGCATAAGGGACAGGCGGCTGAGGAACAAAAATGATATCGGTCAAAATCATTCCAGCACCTACTTTTTACTAAGGAACTTCATGCTCATAGGGGTTTTCTGGAGGCATTTCCAGGAGTGAGGCAAGGTACCACAGACACATCCCTACGGGATCATGTAAGCATTTGCAAATGAGAAAAGCACCCCATCCAGACCTTCTCTGACCGCTTTGCAGTACATGGTTTGGTGTAAGCACAGCAATTCTCACCTCTTTCTCTCCCTTTTAAGTCTCTTGAGCTTGGAGACCTCTTTCCTCCTTGCAATTATGATTATTTGCAACATCAGTGCCATCAAAGATTGGAGCACTTTCCTTTCCCAAATCCTCCCCAGCGTTAACAAGACTCTGAACTTGGTACAGCAAGTGGAAGCCACCACCAGCTCGGTGGTAAGTGTCCTCCAGGACCCCGAACAGGACAACTACCTGTCCAATAGCCAGTCCATGAACTCCAGCAACTTCACAGCTGGCCTGGACCACTTGTTCCAGTACTCATACTCGGACAATGACCAGCTCTACAAGGAGTACAAGCCCCCTCCTCGAGATGCCATTCCTCTGCCCAAGGCTGTCCTCTACCTCCTCATGGCAGCCCTGGTGGTGGTGGCAGTGGCGTATGCCATCGTCGGGCATCTCATCAAGGACCTCATTTACGACTTTATAGGTGAGTGTGGGCTTCATGCATTGTGTGCTTGTGGCCAAAAGGAGCCTGGTGCCAAGCCTGGACGTGCTGCCTTGCGTGTCTCCTTTGATTTGGGTGGGTTTTAGACCAAGCTTTTACCCTTTCACATTTGCAAGAGTGTTGGTTTATTTAATGTGCTGGGTTCTCCAAATTGAGTTCTGTGTTGACCATCTTCCCAGAGAAAATCCTTGGGTTTAGCCCCCTTCCTCAAGGAGCAATCTTGTGCCTGTGTGCATGTGCATAAATGCGTGTGCATGAGTCTGGGTTGCCAAATGACTGTAAAATCTCATGGCCAGTTTCAACTGAGCTTGGATTAGAGGTCTCCAACATGAAAAGTTTCATGGCAACAGATACATGAGCACAGAATAACAGCCCACTAGTGCATAGTGAAAGAAAATCTGCCATATGAGCTTAACCCCTTATGAGACACCAGGGAGTCTACAAACTCCTAGGAAACCCAGCTCAGCAGTCTGGTTGCTTTAGAACAGCCAGCACAGTCCCTGCAACAAATCCATGCAATGACAACCCAAAGAGGGAACTTTTTTTTTTGAGATTTGCCTTCCTCCTCTTTTCATCCTGTTGCTGATGAATGCTGTCCCTCACCATTGGGGCTGAGAGCACAAACAGTGCTGGCTGCTGTGGTCAGGCAGAGGTGCTTGGCTGCTTATGACAAGCCTTCAGTGATACTCTTGCTCTTTGCCCCATCATTTGTAAGGCTGGTCGTGCTGGGGAGTGCAAATGTGCCCAATTCCCATCTGAATCCTTGGTACTTTTGGCCCCTACACCCTGACAGCCATCATGTCCTTTTGAGGGTCAGGACCTTGCTTCAGCATGCTGGTCGCAGTTTTCCAGCTTGGATAGGGATCCAGAAGGGATCCCCAGAGGGATTTAAGCTCCTGGCTCCTGCAGATGTGCACAATCCCCAAAAGCTCTGGGAGCAATGCCCTGCGCAGGGAAACGAGGCTGAAATCCCTTTGCACAGCCTTGCTCTGAGCCTGACCCTCAATCAGGGTTGAAGCCCTGCAGGCTCCATCTCTGCAGGGGGAGGGAGATCACACTCATCTGGAACAAAATCCACGTGTTCATTCATGATTCCGCTTTATCTCCCTGCTCCTGGGACACAGGAGACACACAGCAGCCAAAACTCCAACGAGTGCCTGTGGGTGGGCAGCACCCCTGCCTTGCTGAGGGGAGGGCAAGCCAAGCCCTTTGGGCAGAGGGTCATGACCAGGCAAGGGCCAGCAGATCCAGGACACAGGGATTTAGAGGGGGGTTATTTGGGACAAGAAAGGTCAAACCTCCTGGAGTCTCACATGAGGCTGAGCCTAGGAAACAGCAGGGAGCTGCTGCTGAGGAGTTTTTCTTCACTCCAGATGGAAGGAAACGGATATATTTCTTAAAGTGTTAAATTTAACACTTAATCAGCAGCTTGCTGGGGCTGTAACATCATGTCTGATTTAGCGCTGCCTTCCCCATGAAGGTAGGCAGTGGGGAGAGCACCTAAAAATATACCCACTCCTGCCCCGAGAAGCTCAAAGGACCAGGTCAGGCCAGGTTAGAAGCTGCCCCGAGGCAGGGGCCATTCCAGTGGCCGTGCCCCCGCAGAGCAGACACCCTGTCCCCATTGCTCTGGTCCCTGATGCAGGAGAGCACCGACGTGGGTGCTCAAACCACCCCTTGGGTGGGTACTGCAAAGCAGGGCCAAATCCACAGAAATGCCCTGTCCCTCCAGGCACGGAGCGGGGCTGCAGCTGCCCCAGTGGGCCCCAGGTGTGCTGCTTCCAACTCGGCTCCAGTGTTCCCTGGTGACCTTTAACTTGAGCCTCTGCGTGGGATCAGGTCAGCAGGGTGCCCTTCTCTTGCAAAGCCCTTGCAAAGGCAGCACCACGGCCATCCCATGGGCTGGACAAGCACAGGGACAGCACTGGGGTCTGCCTGCTTCCTGACACTTTGGAAGAAGCCTTTTCCCACTTTAACACCCCTTGCCGAGGGCAAAGCATCCTCCCTGTCCTGGGGTGAGGTAATATCTGTCCAGGTTAGGGTCAGAAATCCAGATGTGAGCTTCTTCCCTCTCCAGGTAGAGAGGAGAAGGCATTTCCCAAACTCCAGCAGCACCCCTCAGTGCCGAAGGCTGCCTCCAGCTCATCCTAGTTAGCACTCCAGGCCCATCTTCCCACAGTTTTTACACTTAAAATGAGCCAGTCCTCGGAGGAGAGCGGACGAGACTGTGTTTGTTAACACTGCCAAGGAACAGCCTTTAAAGAGAAGGGGTTTAATTTGAATGAGTTTGCATAAAATTACTCTAGGGACTGGACAGAGAGACCAAGGGACAGTAAATAAGAATCTGCTCTATTAGCTGCCTTAACACAATGTCTGGATTTATATACTCGGCAGCAGCTCCAGCCTCTGCTATCAGCGTTTCTGCACTAATCATGTTCAGAAATATACAGGGAGAGATGGAAATAAGATGCCAAAGGGCTGGAGCCTGTTTCAGGGAGATTAAATTGGGAATAGTTAATCGCTGCTTTAAACAGTCACTTGGAGGCATCGGGGATGATTACGACTCCTCAATAACAGCTTGTCGGACACGGCTTGGGGAGTCAAAGCATCAGGCAGGCCCCTGCTCTCACAGGAGCAATGAGAAGCAGGTGCTGGGCTCAGTTTCTGATGGTGAAGGGGTCCTCAGGATGCTGCCAAGGTTTTTCCCTGCGAAATCTAAACGGGTATTTGAGACACTGACACCTCTCTTTGCAGATGCTTCTTAAAAAAATCAGTTAGAGCTTGCCCAGGCACCCCCAGGGGGACATGAGCACTGCTGTGATGCCCAGCAGGCTGGGGAGGAGTGGAAAATGGGAGGCTGCATTGGAGAAGGAGGAAAGATGCTTTGTTGGAGAGTAGGAAGGCAGAGCACTTGGATATGGATGAGGGCTCTGAAAGAGCCCCTCTTCAACTCTTGCTGGAGAGACCTGGCCAAGGAGAGCCCCAAACACCTTCATTTGTCTCCAGTCCCTCCTGCTGGCTCTGAGCTGACCAAGTCTCACGTTTGGCTTCCCCAAAACTCATCAAATGTCTCTGCTTGGGGTTGGTTGCGAGCCCCCGAGGAGGGTGGGAGGAAAGCTCCTGCGTGAGCACGGCTCAGACCCCAACAGCAGTCAAGGCAAATTGGGTCGAAGCCTTTGGAAAGCTGCTTAACTCTGAAGCGCTGGAGAGCTGCCAGAGCCGGCGCTGCGGCGAGGAGCTGGCTTGGCAAATGACAAGGCTGTCACCAGCGTACGAGGCGCCTAATTACTGCAATCCTGGGATCAGCCCGCCCTCCCTCCTCCGTCCCCAGCAGCTCGCCGAATATCGCTCTGATTTAAAATTAAAAACAAAAAAAAAAAAAAAAAAAGGCAGGAAAAGGGGGAAAAAATAAAAAGTTTGACTGGAAACAAAGCTGTTGCCATGGAGACTGCACGCGTGCAGTCGCCGGGAAAGGGGAAAGCATCTCGCTCCTGCACGGGAACCACACGGGAAGGGTCTGCTGCTCTGCGTGGGAGCAGTGCCTTGAAGGGAGACCTTGGCTGCCAAGGTTCAGCCAAGGTCTCCTCCGGGCTGCTGATCTCCAGAGGAGACCTTGGAGGAAACTTTTCCCTGGGGAATGGGCACAAGGCAGGTGCCCAGCTGGGGCAAGGCAGGGCAGGTTCATTGGCACTGGCAGGGCTGTGCCGGTCGATGGCTTTGGGACTGCTCAGAGCCCGCCGCCATCCTTCACCAGGGTCTTTCTTTTCTTTGCCCTTTTGACCCACCAGCCATAGTTTTGTTTTTCAGCCTTATCTCCAACCTCCACATTTCAGGCTTCTTTAGGAAACGGTCTCCTTGAACAAGGAAACTGTGCATGAATGTAGCTTTGCTGAAAATAGCTGCTGGGTGATCCTGCAGAGACATGGGATCCACTTTTAATTGCTCCACACAGAACCACAGGGCTCTGAGGATAATTCAGCCCACGGCAGGGATTGCAGACAGCATCTTAGATCCATCAGAGAGGACTTATACCTCTTCTTTTCCAGCTCTGTTTTGAGGATAATTCCTTTGCTTCCCAAAGTTGTGGGAAGAAACCACGTCAGGTTCCCTTCTGCTTTTCCATCTCTGTTCTAACCCACCTCTCACAGTGATCCCCTCTCTGTTTCCCTTCTGGTGCATCAGGAGCTCCTGAGGTGTTGTTGAGGGAAGCAGTGGCTGCTGTGGATAATTCACAGTCGCCCTGACAGGCTGGGGCTGTTGGCCAGACAATGAGCCACAGTGGTCTGCAAAAGGGCCCACTTCAGGACAGCTGCATTTGAGGGCAAACCTTTGGAGCTCAGAGCTGGAGGAGGGGGATGGCTTCCAGCACACACTGCCAGGCATCGACCAAGGCCTCAGGGACGCACCATCCCACAGCAGCCTTCCCATTCCTGCCATCGTGTGGTCCAGGGATGGCTGTGTCAGGTCCTGGAGGCGAGGGCTGTGTTTGTCTGCTGCCCTGCAAGCACTGGTCTCCCTTGAGCTGAGACCAAGCAGGGCTCCTCGCACTCTGGTCACCTTCACTCTGCCTCTGGAAGGTATGGACAGCAAATATCCACCCCCAGGACCATGCCTGCCTCCCACCTACCACACCAGTCACCACCTCTCAGAGACCCATTCTCTGGAGCTGCAATGCTGCCTGATGGGTGGCACTAGGATCAAATGCAGGCTTGGTCCAGGGTTGCTCTGGTGCATGCAGAGAAGCTGTTTTTAAGAGAATATCGTAATTAATTGACTGCCTTTTCCATGTCACCCCCTTTCCCACCAGATGCTTCATGCTGGTGACAGCTCTGCAGAGGAGCAGTGTCCTTACCTGTCCATCAGCAAAGCAGAGTGCTCATGCTGTTTGGGGTGCAGGACAATTTTGACTCAGCCAGCACAGCAAAGCTGAGAAATTTCTGCGAAACAGGGAAGGAAGAAAAAACCCTAACATCAAATTCATTTAGAAATAAGTGAATCTGAGGAGGAAAAGGGGGTTTCTAACAAATTACTGTTGCCAGGGGCAGACACAGATTTTCCATCAGAACAAACCCGGGAATTATTTGTTGATTTTGGTAATGAATAAGTAGAGTTTGTCCAGAAAATGAGACAGCTATAACATCCAGCTGTGACTGCTGCATCATGTCAAAGACACAAGGGATACCCTTGAACTCATGTCCATCGGGAATGCTCCGGCCAGAGCTGGCCCTGCCTTGCTGCAGAGCACAATGTGATTGCTGGGTCAGGACATGTTTCAAAGAAAGAGGTGCTTCTGTTCCTGCTGATGGGAAAAAGAGCTTTTTTAGCAGCTGCTTTCACACCCAGCTCCATTTAAAGCAAAACTAGAGCACGAGTTTGATTGTTCATCGAACATGTTGCCCCTTCCTTTCCTGTTTCCATCTCTACAGGGACTGTGAATGTCTCACTCACCAGCCTGCATTTAAATTTCAGCCCTTTCTCCCACCCCCTTCTGCTCTTCTGCCTGGGATGTCTCTTTTTCAGCAGCTGAAATGCCTCGTAGACATCCTACCCTGCCACCAATGAATGCAGGGGACCAGGCCACCCCCTTGGGGTGACACTGGGCACACAGCAACCCTGTGCCCCTCTGCACACAGACAACAGGAGGCTGTTTCCTGCTGCCTGCCCTGTCAGGGGTTTCTGAGCAAGGATCAGCCCTCATGCTGTTGGTATGAGGAGGGCACACTGTGACAGCTGGGCAGCCCCAGTGTTTTCTGTCCCCAAAAATCCAGCATATCCCAGGGGTCCTGCTTCCAGGGGTGCTGTCAAAGACTGGGACAGAGCCAGGGAGGTGCAGGGGCATTTTGTGCCACATCACTCTGCTACTTGGGAATAACAATAATAACAGAGTTGTTATTCCACAGCTCCTGATTTGCCAAGTCTGCTCTATCTTCTCCCTCCAGCTGCTTTGGATCAATCGCTCCGTATCGATCTCGCCCCACCTCAGCACTTCCCACCTCTCCATTGGCCCTGCAGACCCCAGCAGGCACACTGAGCCTCAGCAGCACCTGACCAGCAGGAAGAGGTGTCTCTGGGTTAGATGCTGCTCCCCAGCCTGGCTGAGAAAGTCACTTTGTTCCTCTCTTTTATCCAAGACATTCACATACACACCCGTGGGCATGCTCTGGATTTTGCAGCATGTGTTATGAGCTCCTTCCAGTGGCTGGGTAGGGACAGGCAATGCCTTTTCTTATCTCCAAAGTGTGACTGTCCTGGGTGTGGATGTGCCACTGCCCCAGGAGCACACTGTGTGATCCCTCCTCATCCCAGCTCTGCCTGTAGCTGTCCCAGATCCATTAGGTTCGGCCTAACTTTGCTCAACTTCTGGCTGGAGGTTGTGTGAACCCATATGTGGACTTAGATCCAGAAGAGGATTTTGTTTTCCTCTGTGTGTGTGCTTTTTGTGGCTCATGCATCCCCCCTGCCAGCTGTAAGGGATGGAGAGAGAAATACGTGACATGGTGCTGAGGGCTGCAGCTCCCTTTGGCTGGCCACCACCACCCCTTGGCTCCCAGCCCTTGGCCACCCCCTTACCCAATTACACCCCTGTGCAGGGTTCATTGTCCAGGGTTTCCAGCCTGTGTTGGCACATGATGTGAGGTTGTGCCTCCCATCCCCTGCAAAGTTCCTTCCGCATCAGAGCGAGGTTTAATCCCACTGACGCCAAAGATGCGCAGGTCTCCTCTCTCTTCTTCCTCATCCCTCCCCAGACATGCCATGAGTGACCCCAGAGACCTTGGTTCCTCACCCTCAAACTGACAGGAGCCAGAGGGAGAAGCTGGGGGGGGATGGAGCCTGGCTGGGACGGAGCTGGCAGTGCCTGGCAGGGGACATGAGGGCGCTGACATTTTTATGGTTGTTTCTCCAGGGTCCTGCTGGCAGGAGATCCTCTGCCAGCTCCACGGGGCCTCGCTCCCCTCTTCCACACATGGCAACACGCTGAAGTTACAGGCCATAAATGGCCACAAATAACATGTAATTGTGTAATTACTTCACTCCTTACTTACACAGTCAAATCATAAAGGCATCGCAGTAAATACCCTCTAATGACAGCCTAATTACATCTTCCTGCAGATTACTGGGTAATTAGATCCAGCAGGCTCCAGAAATAATTCCCAGGGAAGCAGTGGTTCGGATTAGCACGCACAATCCAGCCTGCTCTCACCCAGGAGCTGGACTGTGGCAGCCTCACACCAGCCACCTTCCCCAGGCACCCCAGCCAGCCACATCCCCTTTGGTGACAATGCAAATGGCTTTTGCTGGTGTCCTTGGTGCTCTCCCAACACACCCATCCCCTGTATTTCTCTGCCTTTACCACAGTGCCTCATCCAGCTCTTGCTTCTTCTTGTGCCCACAGATGTCACCAGGGGTTCATCATCTGGCCACCAGATGCCACTTACCCCTACTCACAGGCATGCAACGCTCTTTGCTTCTCGTTGCACACAGCAGTCCTTATCCAGTGGCTCCCGGGATATTTAAGGACCCATCACCCCTTTTTCTACAGATTATTCCCCTTCCTTCCTGCTGCTCCCACTGGAGTTTTGCGGCTGACGTCAAGGAAAGCGAGCTGAGAACTTTAATAGTATTTGTAGGAGGCAATCTTGTTATTGCCTTCGGATTCTCCTCACGGCAAGCAGCTGTGTGGGGGCTGCAGGAGCCTGCAAGGTCTTGGGGGCAAGAGGCTCTGTCTGGATGGACCAGACCACAAAGAAGGTGGTGGAGTGTTTGGCCTTTAGTCTAAACCCAGTAAAGCCAAGCAAAATCAAAACTATAAAAGAAAAAAGCCATAAATGAGCCTTCTGGGCTTGGCTGATTCTCCTTGGGGAAGGGTTGTGATGGGAAGCCCAGCCTCAGGTGGGTTATGCAAGTGAAAGCTAAATGTCCTGGTTGGGATTCAGGGCAGATGCAGGGCTCCCCAAAACCTTTGGACCACTTCTTTGCTGAGTTTCCCAATCCCTCTTGCCAGCACTGCAGTGGCTGAGGGAGCTGTGGTGGTTCTTCTCCTGCCTTTCCTGTTGGACAACCAACAAACCCTGCTAGCACAGTGATGAAGGTGAAGAAAATAGGAAAACCAAGGAAAAACAGTCACTCTGGCCTCATTGCTGGTGCCTTCCCATCTCAGTGGACCATGGCCTCTCCCTGCCCAAACAACCAAGTTTTTTAGAAGATAGCAGTTTGGGAAGCAGCAGCACCTGCTTTCACTCAGCTGCACTCCCTTGTGCTGCAGGGGATGTTCCAGTCATGCTGTCATCCAGCAGTGACACTGTATTTTGGAGGGGTATCAGTCCCCCCCAGGGTTGTCGCAGCAGTTGGATCAGCTCAGAGCCAGGTCCTGGTGCTCTGGTGACCAGCAAGAAGCACAGCCCCAAAACTGCCTTAGAGAGTTTGAGGCCCTGGCGTGGCTGTAATATACTCTCAAGGCAGAAAAGCCATGTCCCAGCCACATCTCCAGCCCTGTTTGGATGATACATTGTTATTTAATCACTTACTCTGTCTGACAGCAAAATCCCACTTTAGGAAATAGATTGCTAGAGACCCCAGATGCACACTTCACTTTGGAGGCACTTCACTCTAATTTTTGGGATTAACAGGGTGATTTCATCTGCCTAAGCCGGGAGGGCTTCCAGAAGCCAGCAGCCTGAAAACCAGCCCCGAGCTGGGAAGAGCAGAGATCCCAGCACCAGGGGAGTGGAGGAGATGAAGGGGCAGGGATGGGCAAGGGACACTCCTGGAGAGGGAAGCACCCAGAGGTAGGGTGTAGCTGGAGGCAGCAATTCTCAAGCATTTCAGAGCCTTGCGCTCTGGGCAAACAGCTGGATGTAACCAGGGGCTCGTTTTGTGCTTTTCCCTCCTCCAGAGTGGATCTTTGGCCCCAACCCGGATGACAACAGCAACAAGAGTGACATCAACTGCATCAGCAACAGCGTCAACGAGATGAGCGAGATGCCCGAGGCGCCGCGGCACCGGGAGCGGCAGCCCCAGGACGTGGTCATTGCCATCGGCGAGACCTGCCACCTGCCACAGCAGACGTGACCGGCGCCACGGCCGGGCCAGGCGGGATGGAGCAGCGGGATGGAGCAGCACGATGGAGAGGAGGGATGGAGCAGAAGGATGGAGCAGAGAAACAGTGCAGCAGCCGCCTTGCAGGGCCGGGCAGGGAGAGGAAGGGATGGGCAGAGTCGGCGCCGTGGAGCAAAGCCCTTCTCCCCCTGGTTTTACCATCCTGGAAGGACCTTGTGGGGGTGGGTGTCGTCACCCCCTCTCCCAGGCTTGTCAGCCCTGTCCTGACATCTGCCCTTGGGTTTGTGACCCCCTCTTTGTTCGCTGTGAATAGCAAAAAAAGAAAAAGCAAATGCAAAATACATCCACCAGAAAAAGCTTGCAAGAGAAATGAGCTGCAGAGAGGCCGGGCGGTCCTTTGGCGTGTGGCTGTCCAGTGGCGTGGGAACGGGGTGGGGAAAAGGGCAAAGGAGACAAGGAGGCTGCAGAGGAATGTGGTTGTCTGCATTTCTGGGGACAGGCCCAGGACACAGCAGGGAGCTGGGAGCTGCAGAAAGGCGCAGAAAGGTCAGCAGGAGCCAAATCCCCCAGTACATTGGTGATCTGCCTGGGCCATCACTCCTGCCTTTAGTTTTGCAGCTCCAGCTCACAGCCCTTTTCAGCAGTGTGTCCTGTGGCTCTGGGGCAGCAGGGTGACAGCCCAAACTTCCCAGGGAGCTTTATTCCTCTAGGCCTGTAGCCAAGCCAGGGCCATCACATTCCCTCCACCACATCTCTGCTTGATCCCAGCATCCCCTGACAGGGAGCAGCCCTATTGGGACCAGGTACAATCCCTTTTTCTGAGGAATGTTGATGGAGAGGAGGACAGGGATTCATCTGCATGAAATCCAAACTCTTCCTGGGGGAAAATAGGCCTTGTGTGTCTGCATCCTTAGACTCATCCCAGTGTGACCACCTCCTACATCACCCCCAGACTTCCTGCCACCCCAAGGGGTGCTGGCTCTGTACTGGGGTCAGCCCCACATGCATTGATGGAGCAGGGACACCTCCCTCTTTTCCCTGGACACCTTCCTCTTCCCAGCCAGAGCACCACCAACCAAAACTGCCCTTCTCTGTGCCCAAAGATGTTCTTTCCCAGTTGTAACTCCGGGCAGATCACTGCTCCTCGCTGTTTAAGGGGCTATGGGGAAGCCAGCAACAGCAAATGTGTGGGGCAAGCTACCAAACCATGTGGGAAAAGGAGCATCCTGATGGCTTCATTGCTGTTATAAGATCAGCTCTTGAAAACCTCAATATGGGTTTTAAACCAGGATCCATAATTTGTCTGTGTAGCAGAGTGGAGGCACTGGAACCAAGCTCATTCCTTGTGCCTCTCCTTCGTGAAGATCCCTTTACTCTCCACATCGTCTCTGAACTTAAAAGAACAGCTTATGCTGATGTGCCACAGAGCCAGTCCTGAGAAAAGGCCGTGGTCCGGACTTGTGCCTCTGCATTCAGGGAGACAAGTCCTGCCTTTCCCCAGCCTGCAGTACCCAGCACACCACAAATAGCAGGGGCCAGAACAGCATTTTCCCCGTCTGAAAGCGGTTAAAGAAAATGGATGTGGTTTCAAACTCCTGCTCCAAGGGCTTTAATGAGAGCCATTACCAGCAGTCCCACGCTGGGGCTTTGTCGGCTTTTCGGTGGAGGACGGTACCTCAGACCTCCCCCCGTAATTGTAATTAACCATTTCCGATCTGACAGTATTATGTGTTCTGCCACCATCATTTTTCTCTGGTTTTTTTTTTTTTAATCCTGGGTTTGTAGCATGGCTGCTCTGGCACCTGCCAGGCTTCCCCTGTGCTGCTGGGGCTGTGAGGGGAGCTGGACAGGGATGGAGAGCTGGACAGCACGAGGGGGATGCTGGGGCATGATCCCCCCAGTGACTGTCAACCCCTGGGAATAACCCTCTGCAGCACCAGAGCTGGCAGTGGGCTGGGGAAACCGGGAAAGTCCAGATTCCTGGGGACAGCAGGTCGTACAGGGAGAGGCTTGCTCCCCTGCTCTCAGCACCAGCAGGGCGGACATTGGGGTCACCCAGGTGCCTCTGGCCACCGCCCCAGAGGGACAGTGGCACACAGTGTCTCGCAGTGGCACTGCTCACCATGGGGACACGCCACTCCCTGGGCACAACCGGCCCCCCCCGGCCGCAGCATCAGCCCCGTGACTGCTCTGCACTGCAGCCCCACCACCCTTCAGCTGCTGGCTCAAGGCTTCCCTGAGCACGGAGGCAGCCACCTCCACCCCAGCCCGGCTCTCTCTCCCTTCCTGAGACGTTTGGGGTCCCGCATGTCCCGGTTTGAGCCCAGGAGATGCTCCTGCAGCGAGCAGCGACCCGCTGGCAGGGCTGGCGTGCTGTCCCCGCCCGAGCCCGCGGCGCTCTGCGGGAGCAGAGGAAGGAGCCCAGCTCCCTCCTGTGGCCGCCGCGGCCGGCCGGGGAGGGCTGGGGGAGCCCTGAGCCCCCTCCGCTCAGCCTCTCGGAAATCCCTCATTTGCAGCGCTGCCAGGGGGGATCCTGCTGCTGTGTCCACCTCCAGGACTCACCAAGCACTGGGTGATGTTGCGGCAGCGTCCACGGCGAGGGGAAACACGGACCGCGTCCCTGAGCTGCGGGGACACAACTGGGCAACGCCAGCAGCCAGGGCTGGCACCAGAGCTCTGCAGGACCCGGGGCTGCCTTTGGAACCCACCCCACTGGAACCTGCCACGAACGGGGAATACCACAGAGGACAGCTGCTCCCCACACCACCTTCCTTCTCATCCCCCCATCCCTGCATGGCTGCCACCATCTGGCACCTGCCTCCCCCCTGCTTTGTCCCCAAACATGTCACCAGAGCCCACACTAGTGCTGAGCTCTGAGGCTGACTGTGAGCCTGTCAGAGTCCCAAGACCACGGAGCCTTTTTGTCTCCTTTGCTGAAGGCAGAGCATGGTTTTTTGGCTGCAACAACCCCTGTCCCTCCAAAACCTCAGTGTTTTTCTGTGCAGCCATGCACCCATGCAGCTGACTGCATTTTGGAGGGCATCACCAGTATCCTCAAGGGACCTTTGAAGCAGGCTGGCAGGACAGGAGCAGGCAGATGAGTGAGGCTGTGAGGATGGGGGAGTGCTCCACGTTTTCGTTTGGGGTGTGCAAATGGTACAGCATCCTCATGTGCCCCTCTTGCCCACCAGGACCCCCTCTCCAGGCTGTCCTCCTCAGCCCTCTCCTTGCCCCCCACAACCTCTGAACAGGGGACAAGTTTCTGGTGATCTAACAGCAGGGACCCAAGAAGAGCATGGAAGGGGTTCTTTGCTCAGGGGAGGATTTTTGGGGATGCTGAGGAGGAGGGGGGTCTCATGAGTGTGCCAGGCTATTCTGACTGCATCACTTCAGCACAGGAGGTTGCTCTTTAATTCCCTCCTTCCTCCCCTAAGCGCCTTAGGGAGCAGAGAGGAGAGATGCTGCTGCTTTTTATAGCAGCCATAATCCCTGCTGCTCACACTGCCTGCACCTCCCGCCCCAAGACACAGGGCTGAGCCTCCAAAATGGGGCTGCTGTCCAAAAACTGCCTCAAAACCCTTTGGCTCCCAGCATTGCCCCTCTCTCAGTGCACAGACCCCAGCTGGGGGTGGTTCTGGACTCAAGACCCCTTTTCAGAAGGTGTGGGACAGCCACAGGTGCTGCACTCACACAAGGAGGGACAGGCAGACAGACATACAGAGACACATGGATGAGCACCAGAACAACTGCCTGGCCTCCCTGCTCTCCTCCAAGACTTGTGGAACAGGAAGCAACCCCACAGCACAGCCATAAAAATCCTCAGGCACAAGAGGAGACTGGGGGATTCTTTCCTTTCTATCTCCCCCAACCTTACAAAAGGGAAGCTGAGGCAGGGAGGGAGCAGGGTTAGCCCTAACCATGGCCCTTCAGCCCAGGAGCAGAGTCCTTCACAAGGCAGCTGAGGAGCTTTAAAGGCAGATAAAGCCTTTCCTTGGATGCAACCCCCAGGATGTGAGCTTCAGCATTTTGTCAGGATCATTCTGCTGTTGGGGTGCCTGGTTTCCCTCTCCCAGCCTGTGCCTGTGAAGCCACAGATGGAATTTGAGCCATCCAAGCTTCACCCCTGGACATGAAGGGACTGAAGAAAATGGATGTGAAGTGGGGCAGTGGAAGGTTTGGTGTGGGGCAGGAGCAGGTTCTGGGAGAGGCATATTTCACCTCCTGTCGCTGTCCTGGTGGTCAGTGCTGTCCTTCCACCCAGCCCCAGTCCCTGTCACCACGCCAGGCCCACAGCCACCAAGGGAAGGCACGAGCACTGCAGCTGCTTTGCTCCCATTGCCATTTCTCTCTCCAGCAGCTCCCCTTCTACTTCTCTCCAGCCAAAAGTCCCCCTGACTTTGCACCCTGCCAGGAGGAACCCAACACAGCTCCTGACCTTTTACTGTTTCTGTTTCACTGCCCGTGCTTGGGCAGATGAAATTTTCTCTGCCCACCCACCCCAGCTCAGAGGGTCTCAGGAGAAGGCAGTCTGGCAAATCCTGTCTAAAACCACTTTGTCCTGCTGGAGGTCTGGCCCCTGTCTCCCACAGCTTCTTTGCAGTACATTTGCTGTAATTTTCCCTTTAAACATCCCAGAGAGGGAAAAACAAAACAACCCGGGGGGGCGTGGTTCTTCTAGGTCAGGCTGAGCTAAGACAGGGAAAGAAGATTAATTTCTCAGCAGAGCAATTCAGATTTTTCTGCTGCTCCCTGCTGGGGACTGAGGCAGAGCTGGTGGCAGGAGCACACTCATCTCCTGGGGACACACATGTTTTGGTTGTCACCCCTGGCGTGGCACTGAGCAGGACGTCCCCAGATCCAAGTCCTGCATGGGAAATGTAGGGGGATTCTCACCCAGCAATGGGTGATGGAAGTGGGAAGGAGGTGGCATATCAGGGATGCTGATGGGCCAGGGCGGGTGCCCAGCACCCAGCGAGGAGGAAGGGGACAGCTGTGTCCCCAGCTGGGCTGGAAAAGGCAGGGAATGAAGTCCTGAGCCTGTCCTTGTCACCCAGCCATGCCACACACCCACGAGGCCCTGAGCAGTCACAGTTGTTTTTCACTCCCAAGGAGTGCTGGGAAGTTCTAAAGCCAGTGGATTATTCTCCAAAGCAAAGGCCTGGCCTGCTGCCAGCCCCTGGCAGGGAACAAACAGCCTGGGGAGGCATTTCCCAAAGGCTCAGCTCGTTCCTGGTTCACACTGTGACTTTGTACCCCTGTTCAGCAGCCTCCCACTCACTGAACTGCAGACACCAAGAATCTCAGGAGGAGGTTCCCAAAGGTGGAGAGGAGGCAGGAGGTTACCAGGAGACCCCACTTGGTGTCTGAGCTTCCCTGGGCAGAGCATCCCCTGTCGGGTGTGGCTCCTCCAGGGTTGTAGAGGTTCAGCTGAAGACAGGCACAGGGAGGGGGGATGTCTCTTGTTCTCCTCTTTGCACAAAACCTGTAGGAGGTTCTTTGGAGACCTGTGAACCTGGGGCAGTGGGAAGGAAAAGCTGGAAGCCAGGACACAAGAATTCTGCGCTGGGCTGATTTAACCCAGCACTGGGGGTTCCTGGGCACTGTGGGGAGCAGGCTGGGTGCCGGGTGCTGGCTGGAGGAGAGCTGGCTGATGGAGCCAGCCTGGGTACCATGCCCCAAAGGAGTGGACTGAATTAAATTGTCCTAAATTGGAGGCAGCTTTGGCATCATGCAGCTCTTCCTGGGAATCTGGGGATCACCACTTTGCTGCAGCCAGCACCAACACTTCAGCCTTGCCCAGGAGACCATCAGAACATCCCCACTGCCAAAACAGGGCAGGCTGAGAGCAGGAGTTGGGGGCTCCACTTAGCCTTTCCTAACCCATTTGTTGGCCTCTCCTGCCCCACAGTCTGCAGCGGGTCAGGCAGCACAAAACCAGAGCTCTGCTCACAGCACTGCTCCCCAGAAAGGGTTACAGATAACCAGATCAATCTCCAAGTAAGAGGAGGGTGGGGGCACTATGATCCAGCCCCACAGGCAGTGCTTGCACCCACTCCCAGGGTCACCCCACAGTGATGCTCCCCATGCCAGCGAGCCCATGGGGTGGCGTGGGGCCACCAGACCAAAGGCCACGGAGTTCGGCCACCTCCCTTCCGACCATGGGGACCATGCTCTTTTTCCCCTGAGAAAAGGATATTTTCATGCTTCCTTCCCACAGGAACTAACAGAAATTGCTTAAATGGCTGCATTGCTCTGGGGACAGGCCCTTTCGGAGCTGAGCCGAACGCAGGCAAGGGAAAGCCCAGGGGACATTTTAATAACAAGCAAGGAGAGCTATTGAAGTGTTTTACTGCCTCGTTAAGGCACTCTAATCTCTGTGTATATCTGGAAAAAAAATTGGCTGGCTAGTGTTTTTATTGTAACAGAGGTGGGTGTTTTCTGGCACGGCTGGGATCCCGCCTGCTTTATCTGCTTGTTTTCTTACCTGATACCAGCACTGAACAGCCCAAGAGCAGCTCAAGGGCAGCAGCAGGCAGGGCCAGGGCCAGGCACACCAGGAGGAAGGCTGTGGATCGGTGCTGTGGGCTCCATAGGTGCTCTGCACCCCATTGCTGCACCCACCTTTCAGCCACATGCAGTCCCTGGGTGTTTCCCAGGGGAGGTTTGGAATGTTGGCTCCGCACATGCCTGGGATCCTCCACCCAGACAGCCCAGAGACAGAGCAGGAGACAACCACGAGGTCCCATCCACTCCTCCAGCTCCAAGGGCTGGGATTTGGGAGATAGACAGATTTTGTGACTATGGGCACCTTGGGTTGAGGCAAGCCAGGCTGAAGAGTCCGTGGCCAGGGAAGCCCCAGCAAAAGTTCTTCTGCAGCATTACAGGGTTATCCAACTGCTGAGGTCTAGGTTTGTAAGAGGAGTAGGCTGGGCATTTTATGTCTAAGGTATTCTTCACGATTCTGTTTTTTACCTCAGCCCAGCAGAAACTGGGGAAGTCCTGCTGAGTCCTGCTGGCTCCAGCCAAGTCCCCATTTGCAAACGCTCACGGTGTCAAGGCCGTGAGCCGGAAGGGATGCTGAGGCTGGGATGGCAGGGCTGCATAAGCCGATTGCATTTGCTTTGGAAAAGCTGATGTTTGCATGAGCACTGGCTCTAGTGGTTTTAAAGGGATCCACCCAGGAGCAAATCCCAACAGCCTGATATCAGAGCTGTGCTGCTCCCACCCCAGCTGGGCTGGAGAAGTCTCTGCTCTACACCCAGATCCACGCTGCACCTCCTGGGTGGAGGAAGCCATGGGAGCCAAAGCTGCCACTGCAGAACACAGGAGGCAAAGAATCCAGCACAGCTAACAGAGCTGGCAAACACCTAAAATGATCTTCCTTGGAAATATGGGGCCAGAAGCATGAAGGTGCTGTTTGACACATAGTCCAGCCAAGATCAATACAGTCACCCTTGCTCCCAGCAGATGTGCCCTGGTACCCAGCTGCTTCAGGAAACGTGACTTTTATCACTGATGTGAGAAAGGACAGATGCCCAGACACTTGGACTGTGCCTGTTTCAGGCTGGGGCTAAACCTGCCCTTCTGCAGGGCTGCCAGAAGCTCCAGGGCATTCCACCCCACAGCCTCTCCCCTTTCCCTAGAAACACCAGTGAGCTCAGCAAAGCACCGACAGCGTGGCCTGGGAGAAACACAAACATTTATTAAGCCAGCTATTTTTTGCTAAGAATTATTTTAACAGTGCCAAAGGACTTACCCTGTCTCCCCCAGGGACCCTCAGCTGATTCATTGCATGCAGGGTTAGCAGGAAAGCAGGGGACAGCCAGCCTTGGGGACACGGTGGCTCAGTGTCAGCAGGGAGCCACAAGCTACTCACAGGCAATGGCAAGGCAAGCACAGCTGCTGCAGGGCAGGCAGATGGATGCTTGTTGCATAAGGGAACCCATTCCCAGTTTGCTGGGATTCACCCAGGTCCTCAGCAGGTACCATCTCTGAGAATTTTGGGTATTGTCCTGCTCTCCACATCCATCCAGGGAGGTTCTGATGATCTGCAGGGGAAGGGAGGGTGCTTGGGGCTCTCAGAACAGAGGGTAATTTCCACTGAAGGCGCTGCTTCAGAGACACCAAGCCGAACCTGTTGTGCACCCAACCACCTTCCTAACCACAGCCAGCTCACAGCTCTCATCTGCAAAGTCACAGCCAGTCACCTCCCTCTCTCTTAGCTTCCCACTGACATTCCGAGACAATGTCCTCACTCCTGCCATCCCAGCACGGACAGATCCAAGCTGTGACCCACGCAGGCAAGGGAACAACAGCATGATGGTGAGAGCAAAGCTGTCACAGCACTTGGCTGGGGACAGACGTACCCATGGGTTCTGAAGTCAGGACACTCCAGGCTTATCCACAAATGTGGAAGAGCTTGGCTCCTTGAATCAGGATGCTCAGGTCCTTTCCTGCATCATCTGGTGAAGGCAGAAGATCCTGCCCAAGCTTTCACACAGCTCCAGCTGCAAGCCATGCTCTACAAGCCAGAGAGGGTCATGCTGGGAGGCGTGGTGGGGACAGCTAAAGGCACAGGCAGAAGCCAAGGCTAAGAAGAGAGAGATGTCTCCAGGGCAGAGTCACTGCAAATCCACCCTGACAGAGCAGCCTCATGTTTCTGGTTGCTGGTAGAAGGCAGAGACCTGGCACCATTCATCCCACAGACAGAGAAGCCCAGCCTTCCCCACCACCACACCGTGTCAGGGGAGAGCAGGAGCCTCTCTGAGTCTGAGCCCCGCAGGCTCTGCCAGGCTGCCCGTGTGCTGCCACATCCCAGGGATCCTGCAGGACTGCTCCCAAGGTGGAAGACAGCCCAGGAACAAACTGGGAGAATTGGATCATCACATGGGGATGCCTGCACCATCATCCTTCCTCTGCAGAGCACGGACAGAGGCTCCCCAGCCCCACCTCCGACTGCCTTCACAGAGGCATCTAAACCAGGCATTCCATTTCCCACCCAGTGCTTTGTTGTTCTCATGCCATCACATGGGGAAGCCTGCACCATCATCCTTCCTCTGCAGAGCACGGACAGAGGCTCCCCAGCCCCACCTCCGACTGCCTTCACAGAGGCATCTAAACCAGGCAGGGCTTCACCTGCAGGGAAGCGTGTTTTTGCATCCACCACGTGCTGGGGCCAAACCCCAGGTCTGTTCTGCCCTGGATGGACACTGGCCTTGAAGACAATGATGGAAATGAGCAGATCCAACAGGGATGCCCTGCTGATGGTCCTGCCCCACACTGAGCATGCTGGTGCCACCAAGCTGTGGCTGCATGGCAGTGTCTCCTGTCCTCCCAGGGTAGTCATTTTGGGGGAAGGGTCTCCAGTTTTTTGCACAAACGAAGCTGAAGATTAGAGGGAGAGATCCCAGGAACACCACTGTTCCAGATTTCCCCACCACCACCAAGGACAACAGAGGGGCATCCAACCACCTGCAAGCAACACCTTAGAGCAAAGGATTAAATCTACCAGGACCCACTTCACCCCTCCTCTCCCAGAAATGTGCTGCAGGGCAGGCACCCAGTCCCTTATGGCTGCATCACCAAATGCTGTTTGGGCCATCAGAGGAACAGTGCAACCCACCAAGCCAGCCTGGCCCCCCTTTCCAGCCACCCCAACTCTCCCAAGCACAGAGAAGTGAAGCAGAGTGGGCAGCTGGGAGAGCTGGGCTGGGAAGGCAAAGCCACGGGCTATAAGAATGTCACATCATCCTGTGACTGGAGCCAGCGCCAGTGGGCATCGTACTCCAGGTGCAGTTTGCTGTTGAGTTTGCAGTTCTCAAGGTCAGCCTCAGCTTTCCAAGCCTTCCCATCTGGATTTCCCTTCCCCAGCTTCTCCCTGGCCCCTGGTGGTGATTTGGTGTCTCTGTCTGGTTCCAGAGAGGGGGACTGCTGGCCCAAATACCCATTGGCCACCTGGGGCTCCTCAGCAAACCGGTGATCCTGGGGCAACCCAGGTGGGGAGAGGTCCACGTGGGGCCACTCGTGCTCCTCTGTGTCCTTCTCTTGCTTTGCAAGACCCCTCTCGAGGTCGATCCTGACCCAATCCTGCTCTGCCCTGGCCAGGGCTCTGCCCGATGTGGCTGCAGCGGCACTTTCAGCAGCGTTGTGGGAGTACTCATCCATGTCATCAGCCAAGGTGTCCAGGTAGCTGCCCACGGAGATGCTGTCCAGCCTGTCGTTGGGGTCCTGCAGGCTGTCCCAGCTGCCCCTCCGTGAGGCCTCCTGGCTCTCCACCAGGCTGTACTGGCTGCTGGCCAGGCTGCTGCAGCGGCTGGTCAGGGTGCTCCGCTCCTCCAGCAGCCACTTGACCGCCTCGATGCCCTCGTTCACCACCACCAGCTGCTGCAGGATCTTCACGTCCACCGCTCGCAGGTAGGCCTGGGGGGAGACAGAGCACAGGGGGGTTGAGGTGACCCAGGGGACTCATGTCCCAGCCCAGCAGAGGTGGCACTGTGGTGGCCACAGGTCTCCTAAGCTGCTTGATGGAAAGCATGATATGGGAGAACATCCTGCAGGGAACCATCCCAGGGGGCCCTGTCCAAGACCTGGGGACATGGCCATTGGTGACCAACAACTTATGGCCCCCACCAGCCACCAACCTCCTCAGGGAAATAAATCCAGGGCACTTGTGTTGCTATCTTCTATGGGAATAAGGAGTAAGCAAGGAACTGGAGGTATTGGATGCAGATCTGATCCCAGAGCATCCTCCAAGACCTGGGAGGCTGCTGGCAGGGCAAGAGGATCAGGCATTGCTCAGTGCAACTGTCTGGACTGGCTGGACCACCAGCACTTCCCCAGGCTGGTCCCTTCATGCCTTTACTTCTCACCTTCATGCCTTTACTTCTCACCTTCTAGGGTCTGAACCAAGCCTGGTGACAATGTTACATGGCAGGATCTGGAGACCCAAATCACTCCCAAAATGGGAGGACAAGGAGGACAGGCATTGCTGATCATACCATTTGCCTCACCGACTCCTGCCCCTCCGAGACTGGGGAAGCTCTTTGCAAACCTCAGTTGCTGCAGAAACATCTGTTTTCCTAATGGAAAGCCCCATGTGCCAAGACATTCCTGTCTGTATGATACTGGCCGCCAAAAGCCACTGGATTTCCCCTACACAGGACGCAAATATTTTGCCAGGAAAGGAAATAAGGCCATGATGGGGGGAAAGGGAGAAAACCCACTGCAGGGCACGTACAGGCAGCCTGCAGATGCCCATGGACTCCTTCACAAACACATCCTGTGCCCAGCATCAGCCAGCAGTGACAGAAATCCATGCGCTCCCCAGGGATCATTTTTAAGCACAGCGCCTGATCCTCAGCATCCGGTACCCCGGGAGTCACTTGCCCGCCCACGGGTGACCCCACAGTCTCCTGAGACCCCTGTCTCCGGTCCCACAGCCAGAGCAGCCATAGCAGCATCCGAGGAAGGAGCCTGGGAAAACTCCAGCCAGGATTTCAGCACGTGACACCTCTCACTCCAGACGACAGAAAAAAAAAGGTCACAGATTTGTAAAGACTCAACACCAGCCCTCCCACCCCCTCCTCATGCTCCTCAAGCTGGGTTTAAATAAAAAATAGCAGGGATGTGCCCAGATTGGGGCAGGAGCCAGCTTCCAAGTAGAAAAATTTCCTTTCTAGGCAAGTTATTTAAAAAACTGCCTACAATGGACTTTTCTGCACGCACTGCTAAAGCATCTGGCCTTGGCAGGGAGACGACGGAGGAGGAGGAGAGCTGGAAACCCCTGGTGGGGGGTTCCCCATTTTTCTCTGCCTCGTGCAGAATTGCAGCTGTCAGAGATGCCCGGGGAGCCAACCCAAAAGCAGAGGGTGGGATAACACTCCCTGCTTTCCATACTGCTTGCTGGAAGGAGTTAGCCATCAATTTGCTGCTAGTTCACACCAGCCTGACCTCCCCCCTGCACTCCAAGAAACCCCCTCTCCAGCAAGACATGGTTATTGTGGGAGGAGACCCAGCACAGGCTGCTCTCTGTACTCCTCCAGATGCACTGAAGTTCACTGCACGACCTCGCACCAAGGACAGCTGTACAGGGGACTGTCACACTCCTCCTCACGCTCTCCATGGGCAGACACAGCCCTGCTCCCCTCCCCAGCACACAACAAACCTCAGGCGCCTTCTCCTTTCAAGATATCTAGCCCTAGGGATAAATCTTCCTCCTCAGATCAGGAGGCGAGAGTGGGAATTTGCTAAATTCTCCTCCCACCGCCCACTCCCAGGCCAGCTTATCCTCTGAGCATCGGGTTTGCTGGTTTCCTGCTGCTCGGGGCGGGGGGAGGAATTCTGGTCCCTGTTCATGGGGATGGGGCGAGAAGAGCCCTGTGCTGGGTTTTGGCACCTGGGCTCCAATCCCAAGCTGCTGACCTAGGTGTAAAGTGTCCCCACTTCCTCACAGGCCAGCAAGAAGAGCCAGGGCAGGGCAAGGAAATGCCTTTCTGAGCCAAGGTGAATAATGCCCGGCCCAGGCAGGCCTTGCTGGCCACAGGCTGAGGCTGCTTGCACCCGGGCAGGGCAAACACCGCGCTGCCCCAGAGACCTTTCTCCTCCGGTCAGGGTGCAGCCTGGAAGCCGCTGCGGAGGAAGGATGAAAGCAGAGGGAGGATGAAAGCTCCTGCACCGACGGGAATATTGAATCAGCCAAAGCGGAGGGCTCCGGCTGGGTGGTGCTGCAGCCCCCCGAGGGCACGCGGGGAGATGCGGGCGTATTTAGCCTGTTCCCCTATGGAAACAATGCTTATTCCCACCCGCTCGGCATGTTCATGCGTGGGAGAGTCCCTTCCCCCAGCTGCACTTGAACCCATTGCCCAACCTCGCCACGTTTCCCGGAGGCGCAGGCATCGCCGCTCTTTGCTCGCTCCACGAAAGAGGGAGGCGAGGAAGCTGCCACGGGCACTGCCCCGTCCCCGGCAGAGGCTGCAGCACAGCCCTTACGAGCCACCCGAGAAGCCCCCGCAGGAACCAACCCCGGGAAAGCTCCCAGTGCCTTGTCACCCTGGGGGTCACACCCGGGGGAGACAAGATCCACCACCATGCCCTTGGCGAAGGTGCCAGCCCTAAATTCTGATCCCGGACACCGCGATCCCAGACGGAGCCGGCGCCTGGGGCTGCGAGGGGGCAGGACGGAGGCGGCCGAGGGGAACCCCGGGGGTGGATGCTGGGTGGGCCGGGGGCAGAGAGCGGCCGGGGAAGGGGTGTGAGCTGGGTACACGGAGGAGCAAGGGGAGCTCCCCAAAACGCAGGCAGAGCGCGGGCACTCTTGGGGACTGTCACCGGGGGTGGCAAGCGGCTGCCGGAGGTGGCTGCGGTGCCCGCGGGTTGGGACGGTCAGTTACCGGGGGGCGGCCGGCAGCGCTCCCGGTACCGCGGCACTCACCAGCTCGAGGCGGAGCGTCCGGAGGCGTTCGGCGAGCGGCGGGTGGGCACCGCGGGCCGGCGCGGGTGTCGCGGGCGGCGCGGGCGGCGCGGGGGCGGTGTCGGCCTGCCCGGCCCGGCTCAGCCCGGCCCAGCCCAGCCCAGCCCAGCCCGGCCCCGCCTCAGCCCCCTGTGAGTAGCGCGGCCGGCACACGCCTTCCGGTCCTCTCCGGCCTCCCCGCCGTCCCGAAGCGCCTGGGTCCCCCTCACCCCGCCGCCGCTCGCTGCCGCCCTCAGACACCCGGCTCTCCCGGAGCGCCTGGGTGCCCTTCGCCACCTCCGCCCCCGAGTGCCTGTGGGCCCCTGAGCGCTCCTGTCCCCGCCCCGCCTGGCCTTGCTGGGGCGCGCTGTGCTCCAGACGGGTCCCTGGCCCTGCCGGGGCTCCACATCCCGCCCAGGCCCAGCGGTTCGCTCCCCGCGGGCGCCCGGCCTCCCGCTGGCACAGCCCCGCTGCCCGGGGGTGCGGGAAGCTCCACTAGGGCGCTGGGCCGGTGCTGCTCCCGCGTCCGGCTGGCTGCACCCCGATAGCGGGCATGGGGCTGTTGGTGCGGAGGGTGTCTCTCCACCAGGGACCCCGCTGGCACATATGGCCAGTGAGGCCCATTCCATAACAACTGATGGATCTATTGGCTGCTTGTGACTTTGGGCTGCTTTTCTTTCCCAGAGCGTGGGAGTGAGCCCCTGGCACTGCAGCAGCCTTGCTGAGTGTTCGGCCCGGAGCAGAGGCAGCCACTGGCCGATGAGTTCAGGGGCTTCCCCTCACCCTGCAGCAAAGCCTGGCCTCCTGCACTGCCCCCAGCAGGAGTTCTGGCAGGCAGGGAGGCTCCAAAGGGCTTTTGCTCTTAGCACCTCAGTGCAGTCCACAGCCGCTGCTTGTGCCTGGCTCTGTCTTTGCTGGGGAGAGAGTTTGAAGGCAGCTCCCTCACCCTGCACCCATCCCGGCAGGGAGCCCCGATGGACATGAGAGGAGAGCAGCACACATCCTGACCCCCGCCCCACACGGCTGCCCCCGTGCCAGCCCCCGGGACCATGGATGAGTGGAATCCCAACCCGCCTGTGAAGCCCCACAAGAAGCGGAGCTGGTACCTGGCCTGGAAGTACAAGCTGATGAACCAGCGCGCGCTGCGGAAGCTGTGCCAGGTGAGTCACCCGCGGCCCTGCAGCAGATTAGGGAGGATAATCTACAGGATTTACAAGTTTATGGAGCAGCTGCATGGGTGGAAGTGCGTCTGCTGGCAGTCTGGGTGACCTGACATGCTGAGGAAGCATAACTTGTTCCCTAAGAAGCTGCCTCCAAGTGCCTGTGTGTGGAAGGGTCTGCCATGTGTAGCAGCTCCTTTCAGCTGCCAGCAGACCTGTTGAGACCTGGCTGTAGGAGGAGATACAATTATTCAGGTGGCCTTGGGAAGCTTTCAGCTTGAAACCTGGCTCTGGACCCATGCTGATTGCTGCAGGGCTCAGCCTTTGGCTGTTTGATTTGCAAACCAAGCCTGGTATAAGGCACAACAGGTGGACAGAGAAAATAGGGCTTGGTAATAGGATCTCATGCCCCAGATGCAGCTGGTGTCTGGGAAAGCCTCAGGCTTGGTTGCTTGTGCTGTAAAACAGCTAATCCTTGGTGGAGACGGCGCCCTGGGGGCAGTCTGGGGCTGTAAGGACAGGAAGGTTTGGGCCCATGGCAGCAAAACACAGAAAAGGAGCCTTTCCTGAGAGGAGCTCATGAGATCTGGCAGTTGGTTGCTGTGGGAGGGAGCAGGGGAGGGTTTTGCATGTGCCTGGGAGGACAAAGGCTCATGAGGGCTCTCTGGCCAAGAAGACTGCTCAGTTCTGTGTCTGATAGGGCATTGAAGGCTTGGGAATGGGTCTGGTCATTCAGGCAGGCATTGCTCACTATGCTGGTGCAACGGGCTAGGGCCTGCATACATCTCTGTACTTTGTGGCACTGCTTAAAACATAGATGAAAATTTGGCTTAAAATAGGTAGACCAGAGCTAAAGGTATGGAATAGCCAGGTCTGCAGCAGCCAAGCATTCATTAGTTAGCTTTGACCAAGCCAGCTCTGCTAGACCTAGCTGCTGGTTTTGCTTAATTCTTATTTCTTATTGCCTTATTTGCTCTGGTCACCAGGGCTATTCCCTCCTGCTGATGAGGGCAGAAGGTCTGGGCAGGTTGGTGAGGTGGCCTCGCTGCCTCTCCATGAGCTCACAGCTCTGTTCGTGCTTAATTAAAAGCTTTCTGTGCACAGATCCCGAAAGGTGCTCATAGTCCTGAGTCAACAGCAAATTAACAAGCCAAAATGCCATAGTGACATTTATACCATCGTGTTGTCTTATTGCTGATTTTCCATTTTCCTCAGTTACTCCTTGGACCTGCTTGGCAGGGATAGCAGGAACACGGAGCTTTGAAGCAGTAGCTGAACAGATAGGGCAGAAATCCTTTTAGTGCCTCTCACTAAGGCCAGTGTGTGATCCCAGCCCCATTAATGACCTCAGGGAATCAAGGGTCTGTTCCAGAGCCCTTGGACCTTCCCAAGCCCTCTGTGTCAGCATCCACAAGGATTGCAATTGAAGTTTGTTGCAGACAGTAAGGCTGCAGGCTGGTCTCTGCAGCCTGTGGTACAGTGCAGTTTCCTGAAATCAGACCTCAGCTTCTTCCCTTTGTTTGATTCAGCTGCACAGGGTCTCCTCTCCCCTGAGTGCATCCTCTGGTTCCAGAGGGATGGATGAGAGTAGTGATGCTGCTGCAGAGGCAGAAGTTAAGGTTACCCTGGGAGCTGTAACTCTGAATTACCAAACTCTTCGCCTGCAGGGACCCTCAACCTTGATGCAATAATTTAGCAGGAATCTGCTCACAGATCTGGAAGCAGGGATACACTGGAAGTGGGTTAATTCTCACATATCAAGGAGTCAGTGCTCCCCAGATGATGAATGCATTTCATCATGAAACTCAGTCACCTGTAGTTCTTTCTCTTTGCTTTTCTCAGAAAAAATCAGGGGAAATGTCAGATGCTTGTGATCCTCTGCAGGATCTCCTTGGGATGCCCTGCAGCCCCTGCCAAGGCGGGCTGGTTTTGGGGTTGTTACTTACAAATTTCTAACACAAAACATCTTGCATTGCAGACAGGTGCTGTCCTCTTCCTGCTTGTGACTGTAATTGTGAACATCAAGCTGATCTTGGACACCAGGAGAGCTGCTTATGAGGAGGAAGAGGAGTCTGCGCAGGACTATGGTGAGGGGCAGTATCCTGTTGTGCTTTGAAAGCAAGGAAGCTAAGAGTTTCTTTAAGTCAGGACTAACTTGTGACCAGCTACATCACAAAAAACAGGTCTGTGCACGTGGGTTTAACAAAAATTGATAGAAAATGCTGCTCCCATCCTGGTCTGTCTACTGAAGGCTTTAGCACATTTGGCTGCAGAGGTTTCTGTGGGGTCAGAGCTGTTGTCATTTGGTATTTCCCCTTACCTACCATCCCTGTAAATTCCGACCCATGACTCCTTGGGCTGGGGTGCCTGCTGGGCACACCCTTCTGGACGGGTTAGCACAGAGCAGGGACAAGCTAGAGGTGCCTTGACTGGTTGAAACTGGGAATTTCTCTGCTGTAGATGATGAGATGCTGAATGTGGAGGTCCCCAGGCATCCTGTCAACAACAAGAAGGTCCTGGATGTTGAGGTGTACTCCAGCCGGTCAAAGGTCTATGTGGCTGTGGATGGGACAACGGTGAGTGACAGGTGCTGGCTGTCCTGTGAGCAGAGAGTGGCAGAGCTGGACGGGTGAAGCCACAAACAACAGTGGTGAGAGCACTTCAGTGACTGGCAAGAAATTCTGCTTCCAGGACTTCTGCTCTGGCACCCGTCACTGCAGTCAGCAAAGCCAAAGAGATTTGCCTCTTCTTTGGGGGCTCTGCTGCACAGAATGGGCAGGGAATAAGAAGAGGTCTTGACATGTGATTCTCATGTATCCACTTGCAGGTCCTGGAAGATGAGGCTCGGGAGCAGGGAAGAGGGATCCATGTCATCGTCTTAAATCAGGCCACGGTAAAACATCCCTGTGTCTTTCTATACTGGGCAGTCTGTCCTTGCTCTTGAACTGTTGACTCTCTGAGGCCAGGGGCAGCCAGGAGGGAAGGCTCTGAATGCTTTTTGTCTGCAGTTTGCAGAGCATGGCATGGTCATCCAGAGAGTCCCTGCAGGGTTTCCTTGTGCTGCCTGCTGTCCTTGGGGGGCAGGCAGGGGAGGAGGTGTGAGGCTGGGTGATGCTTCCCATGGACCTCTGTGCAGGAAGGCCTGAGGGCTGAGCTTGCCTGGGGACTAATTCCCTGGCATACCGGAATAGCCACTCCCTGTATTGCGCAGGGAGTGAGGCTTCCTGGGCACATTTCCATAATTCTGTGTGTCCATACCATGTAGTATTTAAGATCCATCTGACCTATGAATACCAACAGGGACATGTGATGGCCAAGAGGGTCTTTGACACCTATTCCCCCCACGAAGATGAAGCCATGGTACTTTTCCTCAACATGGTTGCCCGGGGCCGGATCCTAATCTTCACCATTAAGGTAGGAGTGACCCTAATAAAAAAAAAAAAAAAAAAAGTCGTCTTGAGTCAGGATGTCCTGAAGCTCATCTGGGCAGTAGTCTCCTAAATGTCACCAAGCATTCCCAGGACTAAATGTCACATGCCCATGGAGCTGTGACTCCCTGTCTGGATCACCTCCCTTGTCCCCTTGCTCTCCCTTCTTGCTGTAGGTACTGCTGTGCCCAGCAAAGCAGGAGAGCAAAACACAGATGTGTCAGAGCCCACAGCAATAGGCAAGGGGTTAGGTGGAGAATGGATGTGAGGAAATATAAGGATGTGGTGGGATCCTTTCATCTCCCTGTTCCAGGCTTTACAGGGGCCCTGTGGACTATGGTAGGTCTGGGCTGCTGTGCAAGCAGCACTGTGCTGCTTCAAGGTTTTTGTGTTTAGCTGTGTGAAGTGTTGCTTAACACATGGCCCTTCTTGAGAGCAATTTGGTCTCAAGGAAACAGGAGTTCATGATTCTTCTGACGTGCCTGTGGGCCATTATGAAGCCACCGACAGCTTTAGTGGCACAGAAACCCTGAAGGTTTCTGGTTCAGCTAGTTCAAGGGTAGGAGTGGGCCCTGTACCCCTTTGGTATAGATGGGAGATTTCCCTGTCAGGAGGCAGACCTCAGCTGCAGGGTTGTGTTTTGTTCCAGGATGAAGGCTCCTTTCACCTCAAGGAGACAGCCAAGAATGTCCTGAAAAGCCTGGGGAGCCAAGTTGCACCTTTCCTGAGCTGGAGAGACATGTGGACCTTTGTGGGGAAGAAGGGGGGTGAGTCTTGCACAGGCTGGGAGAGGCTTTGTGGTTTCTTTCTTTGGGAGAAGCCAGGTGAAGAGAAACCCAGCCCATCCCCAACAGGCTCTATGAGCAGGGAACAAGTCCCAGAGAGTGGCAGCTCCATTCCTGGGGGTGAGGAGGGTATGGAGGCAGAGCGTGTTCCTTCAGCAATTTGCCAGAGGCCAATAGGAGAAGGTGCCAAGCTGTCCCTCAGGCTGACAGCCCCTGGTCATGCCTTGACAAATGGGGCTGGGCCCTTCCAGGCAGTCCTGACCCTGTGTTCTTGCTCCAGGAGAAGTGTATGGGGAGAAGCATGCCAAGTCACCTGCACTCTCTACGTGGGGTGACCCTGTTCTGCTGAAGACAGAAGTTCACTTGACATCCGTGGAAGGTAAGAAGTGCAGTCTGCTCTGTGATGTCTCTGGGAGACATCTCCCTGCTGCCTGGTTTTAAGTCAAAGTCATTTAAAGCTTTCTGAGATGATAATGGAAACTTTTAAGATGGATTCAGCTCCCTTTCTTCCTACTTCCATGGCAATTCCAGGCATGGTTGTTGAGAAAGGTGAGGATGGAGAAGAGGGAACATGGCCAGTTGTC